ATAATAATATTGTACCCTCGATAACTCAAACCATGTTAAAAGCGTGAGAAAAGTCAGGGGAAAAAAATTGCGTTCTGAAGTCTGACGAGCCAATTCTTTGTATTAACTTTTTTGTCACGCCAGTTCAAATTCAGTGTCCATTCCTGTATACTCTTTGCTCAGTTGTATTACCTCCCCATCCATTTGCTTATTTTCTTATTTTTGGTTATTTGTTTCAAACTCTCGATAACTCAACCTTTTTTTTTTACTTCCCCAAAAGGCTTGAGTTATCGGGATCAACTATAGTCCCACCTTTTAGATGGTATACTCTGTTTTTACAAGTATGTTCCAGCATTGGAGTTATTTGGCCTAAACTTTGGGTATTTGAACAGATTTACTATTCGGTGAGAGAAGAGTCTTGGCTGAGATAACTTGTGTGATAGGAACTGGTCGCAGAACAACAAACCGTCAACTGTAGATTAGATTGTCTTTGGGTAGGATAGCATTCACTGGAAATTAGAAAGGATTTGGTTGAATTCTTATACAGCATTTTACTTTTGACCATTTACTAGCTGATGTTTGGTTATTTTTGCAAAAAAAAGGAGATGGTCAACTCCCCACGGTTTTGATCAAATTTCCTTAAACTCAGAGTGAAGTAGTTTTGGGTGGACCCCTTCAGACTGGCCAAGTTTCATAGCAATTGGTAAGATTGCACATGCCGCCCCTGCCTGCCTGGTCCTATCCTGGATGACTGTTAAACATCCTGTCGTGTCTTGTCTTCGTTACCCAGATGTTTTGCACAATGTGTCAATCAGAGAAGAGAAGGGCAGTGTTTTTGTGCTAAATATGGGACAAATGTTCCCCAAGATGTGGCACACTGCTTACCTTAGAGATTTTAAGCAACTCACGATGATGCCGCCAAAGTGATTGACCGGAAATAAAAATGCGCTACTGGGGTCTTCTGCGCATGTGAAAGACTAAACTCGAGTTGTTGTTCAGCAGTAGACGACTGGTGACACGCGTTTCAGAAGTCGTCTTCGGTAGGTGAGTAGTTATTCACTTTTTTTGTCTTTTGTTGAACATGCCGTGGAAGAAGAATCACATTCCAGTGTTTTTGAGGATTCCTTGAAGTCAAAGATATCTTTGTGATAGCAGTTGACGAAATTGAAGCTTTTTACTCACTGAAGAACTTTCTCCTCTTTTACAGTCATAGCGCCTCCTGAAATCACGAAAGCTGAAAAAATAACGTAATTAAGCACCTTCTGTTGGGTTTTATGTTCATATGGTCACAGACCGAATATTGCAGAATAAGTGATGTCCTGCAAGGAAGCCGTGAACTAGGTTTTAGGTTGCGATAAGTGTTATGGCTTGGTTTAGTTTTGGCAGGCAGAAGTAAGCTCAAGTGTTTGCGTGCATGTGTGCTTGGTAAAACTGGCCTACAAAACCACTCGAAAATGCAAGCTTTCAGCAGAGGAATGTTTAAAGTGCTCTTGAAAGTTTATGAAAGACGGACTAACAGCTATCAGTTAGAGAGTTAATTTTCTGGAAACATGGGTAGCAATGAGTTACTGTAGTTAGGTTTGCTCCAGCTAGCTGATCATCAATTCAATGGAGCCTTGTTTGTTAACAAAATTCACGCTCTTGAATGTTTTCAGTACTCAAAGTTTTGAAAAAAAAATATATTGGCAATTCTCTAATATTTAAGTTTTCCACGAGCTTTAAATTTTTGGAGATCTAGATCTCACTCAAAATCTAATTTTCATGTTCAGAAATCCCCTCTGCACATCATATAATTTAATTGTATGGAAGAATTTAGAATTTTTCTTTTCGCCTTTTTGGAACTAAAATTTGTTAGTGGAATGTTTGTTCATTGCTTTGCTGGAAAGGGTGTAGGGTTATTGTCTATTTAATGTTGTTTTTATCATTATGATTATTCTTATCGTCATCACTATAATTACCACAATTATTATTGTTATTATTATTATTATTATTATATTATTAAGTAGTAACTTTTTATCAGTTTGAATTATTTTTAGATAGTTTTATTTTTTTATTAACTTTTTGATGCTTTTTATAATTGTTATTAGTAGTTTTTAGATAGTCATTTTACAACAATTCTCTTTCGTACACAAGAATGTACATGGGGTATATATTTTAATATTCATATTCTTGAATCTGTAAATAGTCTATTTTTTGGAATCTATAAATAAAGTTATTTAATTATTATCATTATTATTACCATCATTATCATATTTTTTTACTTTGCAAGTAAGTTTGTTTAATACAGACTGTTTTTCTTCCCTTGTAATTCTAGGAACTTACCTGCCTTTAAATGGACTAAAGAACATATGCTCTTAGCCCGAGAGATGCTAACAGTTGAGTCATTAATGTAAGAACAGAAGTCATGAGAGTGGCCATGCGTGGGATCTCATTGCAGCAAACCTTAAGTCTGTCCATGCACCACGTTTCCGGATGAGTCAAAAATCTGTAAGGGACAGAACCAGGATCCTGCTAAAAAACTTCAAATTGAAAATAAGAGAAGAAGAAAAAGCTTCAGGAATCGAAGTAGAAGAACTTTCCGAATTAGACCTTGCCTTAGAAGAGATAATTAACACATTTCCTTTAAAAATCTACAAAAATCTAGGATCTTAGTCCCTGAATAGACCAATGAGACTCAAGATATATTTGATAATATTTCTTAACGAACTTAATCCCTGTTTTGACCAATCAGATTGTGCATGTAATCTAATCCAGTCTCTACAAAAACTTAGTCCATGAGTAAGCCGATCAGAGCAAAGAATATTTACAACCATTTGAGATGGAAACAATCACGTGCCAAAACGCAATTCAAATAAAGGTTTGTCTGCTTTTCGTTTGTCAACAAACAGTGTAGCTAGACTGAAGGGATAAAAATAGTTCCATAACCCATTATTCTGGTCCCTGATTCTAGCTAGTATTTACCAAAACAAAAGAAACAAACAAATACTACAGAAAGTCACAATTGTTAGTCGTGACCTGTCGTTTACAGTCCCTTGAAAATACTTTCCAGGAAATAAACAAATAATAACTAAATAACATTCAGGAGTGTCCCGTTTCACTTATTTTAAAAAATCTGTGTGCGATGTTTCGGAGTTGTTGCTATACAATTATATAGTTTTGATTCCAGCGTTGCTGTTTTAAATGTTACATGCATGAATGATTTTGCATCAAAACCGCAAGATATCAACTTGTGTGGTTGTTTCAATGTGTCAACAAGTCCTTTGTAGACAAATGAAAATCGAAACTGTTTATGTTAGTGGCGACACACAATAGTGTTTACATAAAGGATGTACGCGAAGCAAAATCCTTGATTACCCACAACCAAATCTGGTCGAAAATAGTATACGGCCCATTTTCCTTTACGGAAGTTTTATTGTTTTCACTTGCTCCATAAAACATATAAGTTCTCTATCTCTTTCGTGCAGGGAACGTTTCAGGTCCACATTTGTACACGTTGAATCGATTAATTAGCAGGTTTTAATTATCACGTGTTTTATCTGTGGTATGCATCTCTCTTATTTTTTTAGAAAATTGAGGAGTTACAAAGAGAAATTTACAGTCTTAAACAACCCTTGTTAATGGCCAACATAGGAATGGACAATGTAAGTAACAGTATGCGTCACTTTTCCTTAAAAGGTAAGATAACTGTCTCCCACTTTATAATGCGAAAAAAATAGGTGATAAAAAGTAACTACTGAAAAAAAAATCTTTTTCCAAATAACCTCTAGCTAAGGAAGGGAAAACGTGAAGAGTAACAAAAGCATTCAAAGGCATAGTACAGCTTTAAGAGTCTCTCCTTGTGGCAGGAAAAGGAGCCAACAATGGAAAACAGACCAAGGCCACGGTCAAATGAAAGTAAAGAGTAAGGAGCAAGGGTAATTATCAATTTTAATATGAGGATAAAGACTAATTGTTCGTTCGAGTAACCAGATACGTAAGTGTTTCTGGATTCATCCCACACAGATCGCAGGTCAAAATGTAAAGAAAATATGAGTACGGAAAAAACCATAGTACGAAACCATTTCTCGGTGGTATTCCGCCTAGTTCCTATAGAATAAGTTCAAAANACCAGATACGTAAGTGTTTCTGGATTCATCCCACACAGATCGCAGGTCAAAATGTAAAGAAAATATGAGTACGGAAAAAACCATAGTACGAAACCATTTCTCGGTGGTATTCCGCCTAGTTCCTATAGAATAAGTTCAAAAAATTTAATGCACAATAAAGCTGGAATAAATATTAGGATATCAGATGCATATTGGCTTATTGCTTGAAAAAAAAATTAAATAACCCTAAATATAAAACTATGTAGAAGCAACACAAGTGTGAAGGTAAAACTTTTACCCTAATAAAGTTACCAACAATAATTTCTTATTCGTTTGAATTTGAACAAAAATTCAAAGAATGTACCCGGATTCGTTGAAAACCCCATTTGTCCACTAAAACGGCCTAGATTTTTAATTATTCACATACACTGAGTAATTTCTTTAGATTTCAGATTCAAAATCTCAGGGCACGTGACCGAAGCAAAAAGTTGTTTTTATCACCGATTCATTAATTTGTTTATTAACAACAAAACAACTCTGGAAAAATTGCCTTTGGTGTAAATAGTAGATGCTCTACATAGTTCATTTTCGTTGCTGTAATTAAATCACATTCAGTGAGGGTATACAAGAGATATAGAGTATGTATGTATTCAACCCAAACGTTTCCATTGCAAAAAAATTATTACACGTACTTGAATATAGAAGAAAATTTGTAACTGAATATTAATGTTCTCCATGATATTTTTTTTTATTTGATGCATTCCACAGGCAAGAAAGCTACAACTGTCAGAACAGACAGACAGTTTGAAGTTGACTACAACCGTTAAGGTAAATATTACAAGTTTCTGTTAAATTGGGAATGCTTGTAAAGTTGTGAAGCTGACCTCTCTTTCACGCGCTTCTGTTTAAAGAAAGGTTGAGTCTAAATTCGAGCCGTTGTTGGAGGACGTGCAGTCGATTGATCAAGGTCCGTTGAGGTAAGTTATTTAAACATCTTTTACAATTCTCTACAGAATATGCATGGTTATGTTTAAGAGATATAGATGGTATACAAAATAACTTTTGATGGCAAAAAATATATGACCTCCTTAGTTAACAAAATCTGTCAATTAAAAGGCCAACAAAAGAAAACCTACGAAGGAGAGACAGAGTTTAGCTATGACATGCCGGCTGAATGGGTAAGAGTGCAAGTTGATAAACTTCTTGTCTTCATTAGTACCTTGAGAGAACCAGCTAACAAAATCTCTTCGCACGTACAAGGAATCGGCCAGGGGTGGCGCAACGTTTTGTTACTACTTGAACCTAACCGCAGCATTCATTATTCATTGTCAAAAAGAAGAATGCTATCAAACGTAGCAAGAAGAGAAGACACCCGTGGTGAGAATTTACTACCCCCCACCCAAAAAGTAAAAGGTCATTGCTACACAACGGAAAAGAAAAGATGGTAACGTAACATTTTAAACCTAATTAGTTAATCTTGTTTGCATACATGCGTATATTAAAATTCAAGAATTTGTGCCTGTATTTTTTTATCATCTCTTCACCTTTTTGCTAGATAATCAAATGAAATCCAAATGTATGTAAAACATGACGACAAACTGCTTTAGCATTAATTAAATTGGCCAGATTTTATAAAATAGGATAAATAATGGAGTTTCGAACCATCACAATTTGGCCCCCTTTATTTCAGTACAACTGCAACTTTTACGTTCATCCATCTTTAAGGTTTTGAATAATTATACATATGAGGAGGGTGCGACATAATTAGCCACGCGGACAGCAATGGCAATGAAAACCTGGCATACTCGTCCTTGGGGAATATTGTTTATGATTTGATTCACAGAGGCAGTATGTGTATGTAACTTTAAAGTGAATTAAGTTCGACTTTACTACGCCCCAAGACTGGAAAATGATCCTAGAGAAACCGAACTCTATCAGTTTCATCTGGAAATGGGCATTTGACAACAATAGAGCATCCATCGAATTAGCTGTATCGCAGACAAACAATACAATATACCTCACTGTGAGGGCGCATGGAAATGAAACAATTTTATCAGATTTTGATTCCAGTTCCTTAAGTATGAAGACACAAATTTCTTCTGCGCTAAACCTCAGTGACACGTCCTCAATTTGTAACGGTGTTTCTCTACCTCATGGGGAGAATTTAGAGGGCCTTGCACCGCATATAAAGGGATCTTGCAAAGATCTTACTGCAGATGCAGACTAAACTCGTCGCCTATAATGCACTTTTCAACAAAGTGCAAAGTATTCTCTTTGCCCGGCGGTCGTTGTGCTGAAAGCAAAAAACTACTCAGGGTTCATACCTCGAGAAAGTGTAGAATGGAGAAGCATACAGACATCAATCCCTGCTATGGCAAAAGGTACTTGAAAAAAGAAGTGAATTAACCATTGGAACAGGAGAAAAATGAGGAAGAAAAAGCCCTGAAGAGAGAACATTACTGGAGGGAGAAATTGGAGAATGAGGCGATTCAGTAGGATGAAGAAGATCACGGTGACCTTTCCGTGTTCCTAATTAATGTGTCGAAGAATAAGGTTCCAGCTGAAATGAGGTGCCTCCGGGAACAACAAAAACAGCTAACTTAAGACAAAGAGTGAGAACAGTCAGAGATGGCATCTAAAGTAAGTGATCACTTTGTATTAGAAAATAAGTATTTGTGGTCTTAAACATATATGTGGCTAAATGTAATTTAGGCAAGGTTAAATGAGAGACAATGCTGGCCAGCGGTCTCCACCAGTAATCGTATGTGGGGCGGTCTTAAGGTTTAGCAGGGTCTCAGTGATTTTATAGCGCTTTTGCAGGAGTCAATCAAATTGCTCATGTTGCTTTTCTGTGCAGTAGTTATAGTTCTTTTTTGCCGTGTTGGATCTTCCTTTAGTTTTGTCACTGTTCCGCGTACAGGTACGTTTTCTTTTATCATGACTTCAGGTCCGACCAATAATAGTTCTCAGTTGCTGTTTGATGAGTCGTCTGCTTCTGTGGCTGCTTCAATTCCCCAAACGACTGATGTTAGCGATTCCGCCATTTCTGATAATAATAATAACTTTATTTCTATAGTGCTCTTATCCTACATTTAAGGCACTTTACAGTCATTATTGAAAACTATTTACAAATTTACAACCATTTCCTATTATTTACAATGGGTAAAAAGGAAAAAATTAAACCTAAAGCAACTATTAAAGCATATTCATAATGATAAAAAAAAGGGAAAAATTAAAACTAACTCAATATATACAAATCTATAAAAACAATGATCCGTTATTACTGAATTTAGTAAACAAGTACGTCTTAAGTGATCTTTTAAAACTCGAGATGGTGTTGGACTTCCGAATTTCATAGGGTATTAAGTTCCATTCTGAAGTGCAGTCTCGGTGCTGTGAAAAATCTTGTATCTGATTGAAGAGGCTCGTGTAGATCATTTTCGCCAAGATAGCTATTCAATTACACAAACACTGTTTTCTCTATCAATTTAGATAGGAACTTTGAATTTGATACAGGGCGAAAATTACTAAACTGCTCAAAGTCTGCATTTAATTTCTTAAGAATAGGTGATATAAGCGCCACCTTAAGTTCCTTGGGCAGCAATCCAGATGACAATGACAAATTAATCATCCTGCTAAATATAGGGACAAGACTAGAATAGCATTTCCGCATGATACTGGCTGGAAGTGGATCCAATGCGCATGCCTTAATAGTTGAACCCCTAATCAACCCTAAGACGTCTTCATCTCTTACCATTGTGAACTTGCTAAAGCATGACGTACACTCAGAATCCTCCATGGTGCGCTCCCCCAGCTGCTCTTTTCTAACCAGCAACTCATCATGAATTCGCACAATCTTCGCACTAAAGAAATCAGCAAAGGCATTTGCGAGTTCTTGGTCACTGTTCGCAGACGGATATCTTTTGTCCATACTCCTTTGCAGTAATTTATCAACTGTGCGAAAAAGTAATTTACTATCATGGGCATTTTCCTGAATAACTGCTGAATAATGCTGTTCTTTCGCCTTGTAGAGCATATCATTCACAACATTGCACTGTTCCATATAATTTACCCTGTCAATTTCAAGACCAGTCGAATGCCATTGACGTTCAAGCCTTCGCCTTTTCCTCCTCTGAGTAGCGATCTCCTCATTAAACCAAAGAGCATTAGGTCGAATGACAATAGTGCAAGTTCTTTTAGGTGCCAACTTGTCCAAAGCCCTGCATAACACCTCATCATACTCCTTTGCGAATGACTCAACACTTTGCGAGATACACCCGTCTGATAAACCAGCCGATCCAATCATCTCATTGAAAGCATCAAAATCAAATCCCTTTAATTTACGAGAGACAACAGGCTGGTTTGTCTTCTGGCCCTTCTCTGTCCCCGGAGACCGTGGCCTTGATTGGTCAATCGACACAAGCTGCTATAGCAGCCGAAAGGGCCAAAAGTTCATCTTTGCCCACGACGTCTATCTCTTCTAGGGCTATTGGAGTGTTCCTGCTATCACAACACCAGCAGCGATTGTTGCTCAACCATCTACTGGTAGGCCTGTTTCCACTTCTTGTGGAAGTGTGCCGTTGTTCTTGGCGACTTTCACTGCCCCTGCTTTGCCTGCCCTTTCACTCGCGGCCAGCACAGCCAGTTCCCTTGGCGGGTCGTCTTGTGTCGCAAGTAACGTAGCTGTGGCGAGCTTGCTGACACCTGCTGCTTTGGTCATGGCTGATCAACCGTTTGTTGTTGGACCTGGCATTTCTCCAGTTCCGGGAAAGCTTGTGTCTCAGATTGTGGTCAGCAAGTATGTTGATCTGGGCGATCTGTTGCCTGTAAACCTGTGAACCCAAGCCTCAGCTTCTCTTCCATAATCGTATGGCGTTGATGTCGCAGCCTAAGAAATCACATCAAAGAAATGAGCATATCACTACCTGAACCAAAGCGTTCGGGATCTTCTCCCTCATCTTGGTGTCGCACTTTCCTCACCGCTGAAGGGTTCTTTTGCAATACTTGTGCTTTGTCCCCTTCAGCTGTGACTTCCTCCTCAGGAAGCAAATCTCGCCATGCTTAGAGTGTTTTCGCTGAGACTGGCCAGGGTTATTTAGAGATGTTATTCCCCACCCTCTTGTTGTTATTTGGTTTTTCCTCATATCGTTGATTTCCATGACTCTGTTTCAGCTGTCAGTTCAATTTTATTTCTTTATTTCATTAATATTATTAGGTTATTATTATGTTTTTCTTTTGTGTTTTTTTGCTTGTGGATTGGCTTTGTTACTTAGGTACCTCCCTTGTAATTTGTTTTCTGTGCTTGTATGTAGCTTAATTTTAGTTCGATCTGTTTTGCACTTGGCATCTTCCTTACTCAGCTTTTCTTGCATTGTGGGATTTGCTAATAAAATGTTTAATATTCACTCAAAAGTTTAGTTTTTTTTGTTTTCCCTGGATTTTCCTGTTAGCATCCTCCTCCTTCCATCCAGTCTCTGTGGTGAGCCCCCTGAACCTTGCAGAATTTGCTATGGATTTGTCTGGGCACCCCGATTGAGAGACTGTCTCCTACGTCCTTAATGGGCTTCAGCATGGTTTTTGATTGGGTTTTCAGCTGTCTGGGAGGCTCAAGTATTCAAAAGCATGTTAGCTTATGTTATTCATCCTCAGAATACCAAACATTCTTCGCGTTAGTGCAAGATGTGCCATAAAGCGTACGTGTTTTAGAAACAATGACTTGTCAGTGTCGGCAACTTCAACTAAATCCATTGTCAATGCAAATTAACATCTATTGTCTAATGACCAATCAAACGCCTGCGTTGCTAGTACTATGTGCTCCATGAACGCAAGCTGCAGTGATGTTATTACAGTCCCTCTATTTTTCTCCCCCCCTTCCCTTACAGCTATAATCCCCAAAGCCCGCCCCCTAGGTACATTTGAAAAACAAGATGGCTGTCATTAATGGTAAGACGCACTATATCTCGACGAGCTGACGAAAAACTAGGGGACTGTGAACAGTCTACGATGGCATATGTTTTTGTGGAAAAGGTGCTCTTGTAAATATCGGCCTCGCAGATGTCCGGAAAGAATCGTAATCGCTTTGAATGGCCACTTGGTGTTTGGACAAATCCGGTATACAAAACCCCCTGAGCATCTCTGCTGGCTAACCAAGCTATTACAGTTGGTTCTAGTTCAAGTTTAACGTGAAGTTGCTACAGGATTGGAGTAATTTTGATCTTCCAAAGCATATGCCAGAAAAACACATTTGCTCAAACATCATGCTTTCCGTTAAATGAGCATGGTTTAGGATCAAGTGACATAGAGCATCGGGACAGACAGAATTGGGCTTCTGTGCAGATACTTTCCTTTCCTTAAGTGAGGAATTGTCTTTAAAGGCTAATGAACGGAGATGATGGCAACCAGCGGCCTAATCCAACTTGGCTTGAGACAAAGACATATCTCTTAATAGTCTCGTACTATGTGGAAATCTTCTGAAGCAGCGTCGCTTCCCTGAAGACAAGAGTCAAGTATGCAGCCATTGTCACCCACTTCCTGGCCATCTGGTCCAATTATGTACAACGCCAACCCCAGTTAAGTCTGCGGAAAAATTTTATTACGCGTTAAACCTACGTAGATGTGCTTATCTCGCGCCACTTTGCTGTCTTGCTTATTTCCTACATGAGGGCTAATTTCGGTCAAAAAGAATGCCGTCTCGGTCTCACTAGCTCTGATGTCCTCGAAGATTTTTGGAGCAAGAATACGCAGTGGGTGGGCAACCACCACAACTAAAATTTCTGCGATCTTAGAAGAAATTCTTCCCACATGATTCGGTTGGAACAGATTCGGGTTGATCCTCTTGCACCAGAGTTTGCAAAGCCTCACCCCAAGCAAGAGAGCATTTGGGCCCGCCAATACGCAGACAGTTTCGTGAAAGCTCCTTTAGATGATTACCCCACACCTGAGTTGGTGGTGGACGCCTTGAGGGATGGCCTTTCAACTGGACAAGACTTGTTGCGCTCCATTGATATGGCTCCTAATGATACTGGTGAATATGAAGGGGGGGACAATGGCTGTGATGATGATGATGATGATGATGATGATGACGATCACGATGGCGGTGGTGGTTGTACCGGTGAAAACTGGCAAGGGAATGGCAAGGGCATAGAGGCTAAAGACTGGTTTTATCACCTGTTCCGATATCCAGGAAATAAGTTTGGAAGAGGCAGTACTATCGGTGACAAACCAGACGACCATCCCGACAGGGGCGATGATATTGACACTACAAATGGCATAACTTGCCTTTCAGGTACTGAATGGTTAATCTGAATTTGAATTGTTAATTCTATGGGTATAGTCAAAAGCTTAGTCAGGAAAGTGTTCATTGACATCAATTTTAATTTGAAATTGCCAATAGTATTTGACTTGTTTTAACAAAACTCCCAAACCACCATATAATGTATAGATACGCTGCTAAGCGCTTAGGAATTGGAAGATTGACTATCAGTTGTATGTGTAATTTTGTTTTATTTAAATTACATTTTGGTTGTTGATGTTGTTGTTGTTTCGATGATCTCCAAGGTTTTGAACGTCAGGAAGAGAACGAAAGGCCTTTGCTCAAGAACAACCAAAATGTGGATGACTTGATAGATGACGTTGGTATTACGAGGAAGCACAGTGCAAGGGTGACCGTCCCGGGGAGTGGGAGGCAAATGTACAAAGCCACTCTCACTTCTTTCCTGAACCAGGATCCAACTTTGTCACACGACAGGTATGTTCTACAATAATAACGGTTTGAATCTATCCGTAAACAAACCTTTGAGAAATTTAATAAAAAATAAGAGAAATAATGTTGAAAAGACGACAAAATTAAACATCCAAAAACAACATCAAGGAATATTTTTAAACTCATTATTTTCTGGGTTTTTTTTCAGCAAAATGCGTTTTTAGTAAATATAGCAATTTTGTGTGTTAAAGGTATATTTACAAGTGTTGGTTTCTATTTCAGACTAGAATGAGTTCGCCAGAGGCAAGAGTACAACACAGAGGGACCAAGGATGCGTATAGATGGCCAAGTTGCTCTCTTCGAAGACTATGCCATCCTTGACTGAACAACTAGCTTCTTGGTAGGAAACCTTGTTTGCCTTGTTTTGTCAGGCAGTCATGGCCCTGTGGAGTACCGACGCCCAGTTTCATACGAGGACCCAAAAAGGGACAAAATAAAGCCCAACCTGCAATTGTACAACCGAGTAAGCGAGGACGGTGTCGAATTAAGAGGTGTTTTCGAGCTAAAATCATCAGAACCGAAGCCATTCCCGTTTACTGGTATTCTTACGCATGTCAGCCTCACAGTTGCAGAGGACAACAGACTGGAGATGTCCAGCAAAGAGTTGTCAGCGGTTTAGAATGATGTGGCTAAATTGCTTCATCCTGTACCAAGACGGCTGGTAAATAGTGGAAATAGTGGAACTGGAAATAGTGCTTAACTGGAAATAGTGCTCGCACCCAGTTTGCATCTGAAGATGGCATTGCAAGGATAGTGGTAGAACCAGGTCCAGAATCCTATGCTGGCCTAAGGAGGTCATCTAGAACAAGGACAGCGGTCTTTTTTAATTCTTAATTCAGCTCAGGTTCCTTCCAAACACCACTGAAAAATTTATACTTAAACTGCATATGGAATAAAATTTTTGGTGCACTTTTTGCAGTTTGCTGTATCTAGAGAACGAAAATAATACTTTTTGCAACTGGAGAAACTCAAAAGACTGATATTTTTTCTACAAAACGAACGTTGTTTTGAAACGGGAACAATGCATAACACTTTTCTTAATTAACTGAAAAGTATACTAAATTGTTCATGTTGCTTTTTTCATAAAAAAGAAACATTGGATAATTATTTTAAGAGTAACTTGTGTAGGCTTTTGCTATTTTACTAGTGTTATGATAGCCCTTTACTACACCCTAAAAAAGGCGTTCAGTGCTTAATGTAAACTACGTATACTTAGCGTAAAGAGCCCCTCGTTACTCTGTTGATCGAGCTGTAAATAGTTTTGTGATTGCCAATGGATTAAATAAGAAAGAGTTTCAATATCTATTATTGTCTTACACAGGGTATGGTTTCGGCTTAAATGTCTTAAACAGGGTATCAAAAATCGGAATTCTGTCTTAAACAGGGTAGGAAAATCAGGGATATTTGTCTTAAACAGGGTCAGAGTATGAGGGGCCGTGCCCACCTCCCCACCCAGGGATATATCAAGTACCCCCCCGGGCTTGAAGCCTAATTTAATTGCAGATACATGTATTGTAAAGCCCAGGTGATTTTTTAGAATCGTTTTAGGAAATTTTCTTGTAAACAATTTCAGTTGCTTTAGGTACAAATTGTAAAAGGAACAAAGTCCAACAACTTCACGTGCAAATTGTGCACATGAGTTATTTTTATAATTCTGTTAACTGGATTACTGTGTGATAACTCGAATTCCCTCATGTACGAACCGTGAAAGGGGTAAAGTCCAACACTTTCACGTGCAAACCGTGTGATTCTACATCTCATGTTGGCTTTTCACAGTAATAATAGTAACTTGAACGTATGAAGACATCTTTAGTTTTGTAACTAGTGCCTAAGCAAAGGCTCTTTTCTTTTAGGAAGCAAAAACTCGTAACACTCTTAGAATTAAGTGGTCAGAGTTAAACACTGTTTCATTAAAGTAGAATTGCACATGATAACCTCGTAAATAATGATGATTCAACCATCTACAACAATGATGAAAATCTTGGCTATTCAGTATTTGACGACCTTCATCACCTTAAGAAACCATCAAGAAACCTTGAAACCTTCGATTCTTCCCTCTAAGCAACGTTTGGTGAGTTGATATTCATAGTACTTTAACAATTTGTTTATTTTGCACCAGATTTCTGAAGGAAAGACAAAGAAAAGTGAATTTATCAGATCAAATCAGCTATGCGCTGCAGTTGTTGTTTTCATTAATGTACAGCAATACGCAATTTCGCCCAAAACATAGCCTTAATTCAGGATTAAGACAGTAGATTGCCGATACTGTTACACTAAAGCATTCAAAATAGCTCATGCACGTAAAACATGCCTATGTTTGTGAAAAGACACTGCATGAACATGTATACTAGTGTCACTCTTCAGGGTCCCAAAGGGGTTTAGGGCTCCGGGGCTCAGGACTCAAAATAGAGGGGCTCCGGAGCTCGGGCCAAAAATCAACAGGGCTCATGGGCTCCTGAGAAATTGATCAAGCGCTCCAAGCCTCGCTATGCTTTTTTGCTTTAATCCATAAGCAAATCCTAGAATTGAGAAAATACAGCAATTTCTAGCTTTTAAACTTTGTTTTTATAAGTTTTTCTCCACTCTACTCGTGTTTCACAATTATCTAGAGTTATTTATCAGTCATGATCAATGGATACGTTTAATATTTGACACAGTGAATGATGTGTCAGGGTTCGAAGTTAAAACACGGCAAGACCACGATTTCTTTCATACCACGATGTGACAGATTCAAATTGAGTTTGAAAAGTCTTTTATTCATCGTGGCATTTTCATCAGTAGTTTCACGTGAAAAAAAATCATGTTGATTGCAGAGGAAGAAAGAGAAGATCAAGGATCCAATGAGCCTACATGGATCTGCTAAGTGGATTTTTCCAATGTCAAGGTAGGACGAAGGCTTAAAAATGTGAATCAAGCAGTATATATCTCAGTAATTTAGAGTTGAAAACGTTATAAATGATGTAGTTAACAAGTAGTAAGTGTGGATTGCAGCGCACGCCCAGAATAGCATCAGTACAATGAAAGAATGAATGTTAGTTAGCCTCAAGCTAGTTTCTTGTTTTAACTGTCTTCATTCCGATTCCCAGCAAACAAAGCACGTTATGATGCTATCTCGGTGCAGGAATGTCCGAATTTTAATATTTGGGGCTATGGGCTCTGCAGCAAACGTTTTGAGGGCTCCAGGCTCTCCAGTAAAATAATATTAGGGCTCCAAGCAATGAAGCGATGGGGCTCCACGCTCCACGGAAAAAATTTTAGGGCTCCCAGACTCTGGCCACCCCCCTTTTGGGACCCTGACTCTTATTAGGCAATTAAATCACACTTAAGTATATTAGCAAAATCCATTCAGTACCTAATTTAGGCTGTAAAGAGACTATCACAGTTTTTATGACATCCACACATAACTCCTTCAAGGCTTTATTACAGACCAGGTTTCACGTTTGCTACCACTTTATTTTAGTTACCAAAGAAAAACATACATTTTGGTTATAGACTGTTGTGTTCATAAAACCAGTTCACCCACACCATCCAAGAGTTTGGCAGCATTTCCTTACAAAGCTTTGCCCTACTCTTATTTTAACAATGTAATAGTCTTTTGTTTTCATTCTTCATGACAGAATCTTACAGCAAATTCCAGCATGCAGGGGTAGTTTTGGTGCTAACTAATAGTTTAGGTGATAGGTTGTCACGGCTCGAAGACTTGTTTGACTTCAGCTCTTTGACCTTCCTCCATATTTGTTGAGAACAGATCTCAATATGAGTTAGTAGTGGCAGTGACACATTACCTAAGTCTGATCTATCAGCCCCTATTGTTGCATTCCCAGATGGTGCTGGTAATTTCGCTGCAATATTCTTACCAATGGCAGAAAAGAACAGGTTCATCAGGCCATCCTTTCGCATTGTAGATTATCAAAATAGTATGGATTCCTTGAAATCGACACCTGTAGGAGACACAGTAGTCTTTGTGTCCATTTACTGGCTCTCTGCTCGCAATGCTGAAATGAAACTGCCTCCAACAACTCAAGTCCACGTACATACGTAAATATGTAGTTGGTGTAGGTTGCAAGGGAGAGGGTTCTGTGAAGTCTAAAAGGAGCAGAAAGCATGACAACCAATTGAAATTAAAAAGGAGCTCTAGGAAAATAAAAATGGCAGCAAGCATTGCTTTTTTTCCATCAATTGCTTATCCGCTTGTAATCCAATATTTTTTGGCCCCCCTTTGCATTAATAATGACCTTCTACAACAGTATCTCAGTCATCAACCTAAACATTACTTTACACCATTGCTTTGTGGGCAATTTCAATTCTCGACTAGATACAGTGGTTGGAACTGTGGCTGAACTTAAGACTCGCCTAAACATATGCCAGAAGGACACAAAAGAATTCAAACAAAGTCTTGAATTCTCTCAGAAAGATATCAACGAACTGAAGCCGTGTAAAACCAAACTTGCTGAGATAAAGGATGACATCGAGGACATCTACGACTCTATCGACTACCATATGGACAAATTAGAATATCTGGAGAATCAGAGTAGAAGAAACAACATCAGAATTGATGGGATCTTAGAAGAAGAAAACGAATCGTGGGACACTACAGACGAAAAAGTCAAACAAGTTCTAGCAGAGAAGCTCAACCTTGAAGAAGCACTCCACGTCGAACGTGCTCATCGTGTCGGTAGGGTTGTTTCTGGCCCTAGAAGACACCCTCGCACAATTGTGTGCAAGCTTCGAGATTTTAATCAAAAGGGGCAAATATTGAAGATGACAAGAAGAATAAAACCTGTCAGTTTATACGTAAATGAAGATCTTGCTAAGGAGACCCTAGATAAGCGTGAAGAGCAGAGACCCAAGCTGGAGGAAGCAAAGCGGAATGGAAAAGTAGCATACTTTGTATTGGACAAGTACTTTAACCAAACATTTTTCCGTTTTTTATCAAGGACCTAAATTTTACAACACCTTAAACACCAACATCATCAACGCTTCCTCACCTTTTTCCTTTAAAAGAGCACTTAAGGCATTTATTTCTAATAATTATTAGTATACCCCAACAGAAATCTTGCAAAAAAGCCTTTTAATATTCAACATTATTTGTACTTCCGTAATATTGATTAGTGTAATTTTCCACCTGATATTATTTTGTATCCGTCGCCGTAATTTTTATGCCATCTTCGAAAAATTGTAATTGAGGAGGCCTAATTAACATGAGCTCTATAGGTTCCTTTAGGCCTCCTCGCCATTTCTTCCTACATTTTTTTGGCATTTCTTTGTAATTATTGTAATC